GAAAAGTTGTATAAGGGTTATAAGAATACATTTTCATTGTTTTAGAGTTCTAATTTCGTGTGGAAAAAAAAAATCTACCAACATAAATCAATTGTGTCCAATGTGTTACAATCAGTCGATTCCCACAATTTGAAGTTCAATTAGAATGATTAGAAATAATTTTAAAAAGTACAAATGATTAGAAAGAGTTTTAAAAAGTACAAATGATTAAAAAAAGTTCAACAAGTACAAATATTTCTAATCATTCTAATTGAACTTCAAATTGTGGGAATCGACTGAAAATGTATTCTTATAACCCTTATACAACTTTTCCAATCGTTTGAATTTAATTTAGGTACTTTTTTTTTGTATCAGAATGGTCAGACTGTCAGACGGTCAGATGGTCATACCATGGTCAGACGGTCAGACCTATTCGAAATTGCGAGATTCATCGGTTTAAAAGTGTTAACATCGTAATAATCATCTCGTATGATCGATTTATCTAGTTGAAATTGGTCGTAGCAATATGGACTGAGCATCTTCTTTTGATGCAAAAGTAACTCTTTCCAAAGAAGACCTAAACTACTAGTAGTGTTTGTGTAACACATTGGACACAATTGATTTATGTTGGTAGATTTTTTTTTTCCACACGAAATTAGAACTTTAAAACGATGAAAATGTATTCTTATAACCCTTATACAACTTTTCCAATCGTTTGAATTTAATTTAGGTACTTTTTTTTTGTATCAGAATGGTCAGACTGTCAGACGGTCAGATGGTCATACCATGGTCAGACGGTCAGACCTATTCGAAATTGCGAGATTCATCGGTTTAAAAGTGTTAACATCGTAATAATCATCTCGTATGATCGATTTATCTAGTTGAAATTGGTCGTAGCAATATGGACTGAGCATCTTCTTTTGATGCAAAAGTAACTCTTTCCAAAGAAGACCTAAACTACTAGTAGTGTTTGTGTAACACATTGGACACAATTGATTTATGTTGGTAGATTTTTTTTTTCCACACGAAATTAGAACTC